TACAGAGAGGAAGAGAGAGGGATAGAGAGTTAGAAACATTGATGAGAGAGAATCATCGACCAGCTGCCTCTTGCACACCTCCTACTGGGGATGTGCCTGCAACCAATGTACATGCCTTGACCGGAATCGAACCCGGGACCTTTCAGTCCGCAGGCCGACGCTCTATCCACTGAACCAAACCGGTTTTGGCTAGAAGTTATCTATTTCAAAGACCAGATTACAATGAAGTACAATGTTGATTAATGATATTAGCTAAACTTTTATGGAGAGCTGACTGTGTTCAGATACTGTTCCAACCACTTTACATAGATGAACTTATTTTATCCTCACAACGTCCCTCTGGATCAGTTTTATCACCCCATCCTTTTCACAAATAAGGAAACTGAGGTGGAGAGGTTGTACAATACAATGTAATCAGCTAATAAGGATAAGGGAAGCTGGTGTTCAGATCCAGGCAGCCTGGCCTCAGAGAGCTTATCTCTCTGTACGATCATAATGTTCATTGAGCTTTCACTATATGGCCAGCCCTGTTCTAGTCCTTTATATGCATTAACTCATTTAGCTCTCAGACCACTCCTATGAGAGCAATGCTATATTCTTCCTATTTTTTTCAGAAAAGGAGCCTGAGGCAAAGGCTGGTAAACTAACTTACCCCAGGATGCCTAGCAAGTAAACACTGGAGCAAGAGTTCACACATATCTTAGTGTGAAACCCAGAGCCTTACACACTAGCTTATTCCATGCAATACACATGCTTGGGGACAGGCTCAAAAGCCCAATCTGGCCCATCGCCTGGATTTATAAATAAAGTTGTGTTGTAGCATAACCCCGTTCATTCATTTATATGTTATCTATTGCTGCTTTCATGCTACAATGGCCGATTGGAGTAGTCACAAAAAGAGACCATATGACCATACATTACTCTCTGGCCCTTTACAGAAAAAGTTTACCAACCTCTGCTTTAGAACGTACGTACTTTTTTTCTCAATCATCTTTGATCCATCCCTCCGCCACTCTAAACCGAGCCAGTGCCTAACTAATAGAAAACAAGTGACAATAGTTATAACCTTTTATACATCCTTAGAAAATAGCAGGAAAAAGAAACTTCAAGATGCATCTCACTAAACCCCCTAGACAGAAATCAGGCAACCTCTGACTTGGCATTTGTCATCTTAAAAAGGAAAAAGGCAACTGAGACTCTGAGCTCACCCTACGGGGAGACATGGACTCTGGGCACAGTCCACTCAGATTTGTGACCTCACGCTGCCGCTTCCTGGCTTCGTGACCTTGAGCTGATCGCTTAACCACCATGTGCTTCAGATCCACCATCTGCAACGTGATGATACCAGTGGACCTAATTCACAGGCTTGTCATGACCATTAAATGAGTTAGTGTATGCAACTGTAGGATAAGAACTGACTCCGATGGAGTGGTAGTTATTTCCCTTTTCTTCGAATTCTTTGAAAGACTGACACAGAGATAAATAGAATGATAACAGTATACTAAGGAAATTATCAATGCTTATTAAATCCTAGAGGCCTGGTGCACGAAATCCATGCAAGAGTAGGCCTTCCTTCTCCCTGCTGCCAGCACCGGCTTCCCTCTGGCACCCGGGACCCGGCTTCCCTTGCAGCCCTGGCGTCTTCCAGAAGGATGTCCGGAAGGACATTTTATATTAATATTACGCTTTTATTATTTATAGATTCTCTTACATTTATTGTTTACAGCACACTCTATAAATGAGGTGATAAAAAAGGCAATGCTCTCTGACAACTTGAAGTGTAATACAAGGCTCATAATTTTAGCACAAGAGAACAAATTAAATACCTTATCAAGTTCAAAATGCAGTACATCAGCCTTATGTAGACAGGAATGTAGGAGGGTTGCTGTCACCTGGTTTCTCCTACAACACCAGAGCATTTCAACTGTCAAGGGCAGGGACCACCAACCCTTTAAAAGGCTATTGTCCCAGATGGTACCCAGCTCCAAAATATACCCTGACAATTCCTATATTATTTCTTTAACTCAGGATTTAATGTGTAAATGACTTGAGCATTTATGGGAATGATAATAATTATTTTCAATCTCTATTATAATTATTATTGATGTTTATAATGCACATATAAACAATAAACCATGAAATATTGATATGAAGTAGAAGTAGCTAAAATCATGATCCTTGAAATTAAACTATCCTGAATTCAAAGTTGGCCTCTAAACAATTTACATTGCTCATAAAATCCCCAAAATAATAGTGCCAAAATCATTCACTCAGTCAGATATATATTTTAAATACATTTTTTATTGATTTCAGAGAGGAAAGGAGAGGGAGAGAGAAACATCAATGATGAGAGAGAATCATTGATCGGCAGCCTCCTGCATACCCCTTACCTGAGATTGAGCCCACAATCTGGGCATGTGCCCTGACTGGGAATAGAACCTTAACCTTCTGGTTCATAGGTCAGTGTTCAACCACTGAGCCATGCCGACTGGGCTCAGTCAGACATTTGAAAAGCACTTGCTGAATAGCTATATATAGCAAACAAAGCAGGCATATACCCTGCCCTCATGAGTTTTCATTCCACTTGTGAAAATTAAAAGCATTTAGTATAAGTTCTGGTGCACATTAACTTTTCAAATAATATTGGATACTGTTATCATTAATTGATGATGATGGAGGAAGAAGTCTCCAGGCACCAGTACCTCATTATGGAGTTGATAACAACACTGAACTTCTGAATACGGATAGTGCCGGTCCATGTGTCTGTTCATCTTGACCATCTCCCCCCTAGAGTGATCTGAGTTGGAAGCTCTTAAATAGGGATCTTGATCACCATGACCCAGTCTCTGATGATGCTCTTGGTTAGTGACCAGATCAATAACAAGTGTTTATGGGCTGATGGGTTTGAGGCATGTGAATCACTAAGTTCCTTCTGATATATGCTGGAAATATTTCTGTTCACTTAAAGAACATTTCATGAATGAATTAACATATTTGCAGAATATACGGTAATATCAGAATTTGGCAGAATTTTGTGCAGAATGATTAGAAAATGAAGATATATTTTAGATAATGAATATATGAATAAAGACAGGGGAGAGTGGGATTAGTCTGTGTAAAGTAGAAGTGGGAGTTGCAGGTGGGATAGAGGAGGTCCCAAAGCAGAAAAGATAAGAGTCTGCAAAATCACTTTCAAAACTGATTAGCCATCAATGGTTTGTGTTTGTTTATATTTTTCCTTAACTTCTACAAATAGCTCCTCTCACAAAAGTCATTTGAGAAACTTATCTTTCAAAGTTCGTAAAGACATCAATGATTTAGTTATCTTCACTTAAAGAGGGTAATTTATCTTCTAGTCGAGTGTGCATGTGTCTGCCAGGAAAGCTGCGAGCCAGCATACATCATACTCATAGCTTCAAGGATTTGGTCTGCCTTCTTATGTGTATTTGAATATAGAATTCATTTCAGCCTGACATTTTTTACCTCTCATCATATTTTTCTTCTAATTAAGTTCTATAAATGTATCCTCTACCCAGTTTGAGCTGTAATAAATTTCTTTCTTGAATTGGCCTTCTGAAAATCACAAACCAACATTATGATGAATTGCAAAATGAAAAATTTCCCTTCCACTGTGTTTATTTTGAGCAGGGAAGTACCGGAGAAAAATGAAACAGTGCTGCACTAAAGAGTGCTTACATGCTCATAGTGGTCACATGCCTGTGATTTGAATGTCTGTAACACTGGTTGACCCCAGCAGACTTCCAAAACTGGAGAGGTCTAGTGCAAGAAAATGAATTTTCAGTTCAAAATTTTGAGATCAAATAGGAGGTATCCATAATGAGAAAAGTTTTAATTTCATTAAAACTGGAACTACCCATGTAGGTATAGACTGAGTCCATTATATATATTTTTTATTTTCCTAAAGTCTATATTGGAGAAGAAAAGAACAGGGCCATTCAGAGAATGCACTGTGGGAGAAATGAATGGGTAGTTTTTATTTTTAAGCCGTTGTTTCATTTCCCTGTGTACTCAAGCAAAAGCATGATGTCTTAGATTTGAGATGGCTATGTTGAAAGGGAACAATTTGTTGCTGTTATTTAGACTGGTATTTTAATAGGTGCTTAACATTGGGCACATTTGTTCCGTTTCACTGTAAGGCACAGATGAAACTCTATATAAATAAGATTAGAACATGGCCATAGATAAAATATCAGGCATTAACCTTGTAGACTCTTGATTTTCGAATGGTTTAGCTCCAATATTTGAATAGCCACAGTGATCATAGCCTGTTTCAAATAATTCTGCTTAATGTGTTAAAGTGTTAATTTCACATTCTTCTTACTCATTTCCCCCTTTGCCTTTATACAGTGGGGAATTGCCTTATGCATCCTGAATTCATTACTGTAATTTGTGTACTGTGCATTGACTGAAACCAGTTTAAGTGGCATATTAGCACGGAATTTGAGCTCCTTCGCTTTGTGTAGATAGTAGGCCATGGAGTTAATGTTTCATTTATAGCATTTATTCAAGGGCTATGATGGTGGTTATGATTTATGTTCTTTTCCTGGATAATGCCTGGCTTAAGATATACTATAATATGCAAAGAATTTTGATTTTCTTAATAATTACCATGGCTATAGGTCCAACTGTCCTAACACTGAACTATTATTGGCATCACCCTTTCTTCCTGAAACAAAACAAAACAAAAAAAAAACAGAATTATTGTTTTCAAATTAGAATTAGACATGATTTGTCTAGCATCTCATTTGACACATAAGAATGTGAGATGCAGTGAAGTAAATTGGGTTGGTGGCAATCAGAAAGTGATTGGTGTTAGAGCTATAGTCATGAGGTAGACACTGGTCCCTCTGAGCTCCAGGCCAGCACCTAGGAGCTGTCCTGCCGTGCTGAAGTGGGATGGCCACTGCCATGTCATCTGTCCACAGTGTGAGAGCGTTCGCTGTTACCGCTCCGTAACTCTCCCCTCTGTCTGACTGCAGCATCGTGGTGCACCCCAGCAAGGACATGCTGGTCTCCTGCGGTGAGGACCACCTCTGGAAGGCAGTGGGGCTTCCCAATGGCAACGTGCTTCTCACAGGAACTGGCCACACCGACTGGCTTTCCAACTGCTGCTTCCATCCCAGGTCAGTGCACACAGGCCCTGAACCAGCCTCATCTCTCCAGGGAACGCACTTGTCTATTCTGTTTCCACACTCTCCTGGCTTTTTAAAATTGAAATATGAATAATAGACTAAAACTGTACGTGTTTAATGTATACAATTTGATGAGTTTGGAGATAGGTATACATCCTTAAAACCATTACCACAGTACCACAATCTATCCTATAAATATTTCTATCATTTCAGAAAGTTTGCTGCTGCCCACTTTGTTTATTATTGTTATCATCAGTGGAACACTTAACATAAATTCTAACTTCTTAGCCAATTTTTAAGCACATGAGATAATACATCTCTAGGACTTATGTTGTATAAATGAAACTTTGTATTTAGGTGATTTTGATGGCACTTTCCCCCCCCCCTCTGCAACCTTACAATCTGAATTTAGAAAAGTGTAGATACATGCTCCTTTGGCTTTCCTTATATTGACTTTATAGACTGATTGCTTTTGATATTTGGTACCTGTAAAACTTAGTCACATGCTGATACATTTAACAGAGTAAAGAGCTTCCCAGAAGAAGCGTTATTGATGCTTCTTGTACTCACAAGCTCTGACAAGACACATGGCTTTCTAGAAAATAATGCATGCTAGTGTTTACTTTGCCTCAGTTTATCATGCAGGTTCTTCTTTTAGAAATAAATTATCTACCAAAAAGCATCAGAAGATAGTGATCAATTTTGTTAAAAGTAAATGACACTGAAAATATTAAAGAGATTAAAATTGAACTGAAAGCATTGAGTTCTGTAGTTTTAAGAATCTATTGAATTTTTGTACTGCAAAGGCCAAGGGCACAGAAGGAAAGATATTGTTAAACACAGAGATACATTAAAAAGCTCGACCCACAGTTGTTTGTAGTCAACTCCCACTGCCAATCCCAACTGTCTTTTCATGTTCATCATTGTACTCAATACTTGTAAATAGTCTTGCATCTGGATCTTTCTAATACTGTATTATTCCTGGATACTCATAGTTTTGGTGCAATTTCTAAACCATTTCATTGGGAAATTTTGTTCTTAGGATGACTCTTATTGATGTATTTTCATAAAACTCTTAATTTTTTTGAATCTTGTTATGATCCTATATAATAAAATGGAAATATGCAAATAGACCAAAAGGTGAAACGACCAATCACTATGATGCACACTGACGACCAGGGGGCAGATGCTCAATGCAGGAGCTGCCCCCTGGTGGTCAGTGCACTCCCACAGGGCGAGTGTAGCTCAGCCACAAGCCAGGCTGATGGCTGGTGAGCTCAGAGACCGCCTCCGTGGCAGAGCTAATGATGTCCAACAAGCTGTCAGTCAGACATCTCCCTAGGGCTCCCGGCCTGGGAAAGGGTGCAGGTCAGGCTGAGAGACCCCTGCCCAACCCCCCACAGTGCACGAATGTCATGCACCCGACCTCTATTTGTTAATAAAATTAGATAGAGTGTCATTTACTTTTTACAAAGATAGAGATGAACTAAGTGAGTTAATGAGAAGAGTAAACTATTTTTTTAATTTTTGAAAATTTTCTCAGTCTAATTTATCTTTAAGTGCTAGATGATTGAACTTAAGTTGTGAACATGTATGCATTCTGTACCTGTTGGGAACATGAAGCCCGTCTCATAAGCAGAGACAACCCAATTAGAAGTGTAACCTATCACTTACGAAGCTACTGGGCACAGTAATCAGATTTCCATAATGCCCAGTTACCATGACAGCCAGTGACTCAGATATTGTCTCATTAGTGCTTGACCAGCACAGGTTCTTTTAATAGATTTTCCCATTTTCCCACTCAATTACTGAAATTAAAATACAGTAATTGAGATGAAATACATCATTATTCACTCATAACATGAATTTACATTCAGTACTTTCTTTGGCAAAATTGTAGTAAAATACAGCCACACTGTTTGCTTTTTTTTTTTTTCGTGCATGAGGTAAAAATAATGGGAGAAAATACATTTAACATAGTGTTTTTAAGTGAGTGATATTTAATGGCAAATATTCTTTTGTATGCTTAATTAAAAGAAATACATTATTGTCAAAATAACAGTAAAAAATCTTTTTTGGGGGGGGATAGAGATTGATTTATTTTTATTTTTCAATTAGAATTTACATTCATTTTTATTTTGTTTCAGTTTCCATTGTACAATCTAGTGCTGATACAGTCATATATTTTACAAAGTGATCCCCCAGTATTTCCAGTACCCACCTGATACCATAAAGAGTTATAATATTATAGACATACTAGTGGCCTGGTGCATGAAATGCATGCACACAACCTGCTGGGAATTGAGCCTTTAACATGGGCATGTGTCATGACTGGGAATTGAACTATGGCCTCTCAGTTCATGGGACAATGCTCAACCAGCTAAGCCAGGGCAGTTTTTAGACTTTTTGAATCTTTGTTGGAAAAGGAAAAGGAAAAAGTACTGTTTTTTTGTTTGTTTGTTTTTGTTTTTTTTAGTACTGGTTTAAAAATATAGCATAGACATAGTTCCAAACTCAACAAATGTAAGACACTGGCCACAGAACTACTGTAGTCTCATTTCACAATTATAAATGCAAACTGTTTAAAAGAATGCAGAAAATATAACTTAGTTGTATGTTTAAAGGCAATTTACAATGATCCAGTAAAATTTGTATTTGAAAAGCATGGGATACATAGGGGTTTAATTATGAAGATATTATATTATAAACTATATTAATAGATAGATATTGTAAAGTTACTTTAAGATAGGGTTGTGAAGCCCCATGTTTTGATCTTGACAAGAAGAATGGATTTTGGTAGAACTGGGAAGTAAAAAGATCTGGCAGGTCTATGTAGAACTGGGATGCCACGGAGTTAGATGGGTCAAAAGAGATGAGCATGTTTACTGATTTGTACATAAGTTTGTAGGTTCCTTATTAGGATTTGTGTATCCAGACACTTTTCAGGAGTAACATGGGTAACCCAATCACCACAGAACTACTCTTACTGCATATTTACCGCTAGAGGGAGCTCATACATTGGTACGGTAAAGCAACCTGTGCATTGGCATTTACTTGGTAGACTGATGAACTAGCTGTTGAAAATTATTAGTTACTGAATGTGATGAATGAGTGGAAAAATTCAGAAGGCATGCATTGCAATATGTACTGTTAAAAGAGCAAAATGTACACCCTAAAAAGAAGGAAACTTAAGCATACTCTGGTGGAAGGAAAAGGTACCTAAATAGCTAACACATGGCGTCAGAGTTTCAGGTCCCCTTGCTAGAATCCTAGCTTTACCTTTGCTAGTTCTGTCAGTTTTATCATCTGTGAAATTGGTATAATAATGATGATACCTACTTTGTAGATCAGTTGTAAAACATATAATGACTGATTACTTTGTGTCCAAGCATGTTTTATTATTGTTAGTCTATTTAGATTAGTTTTGTATCAGTGTCCAGGTTAATATTAATAGATCAATAAAATGCTCACTACAGTCACTTAATAATATATTATTTGGTCTTTACCTATACCAATATATTTGATCTTTATCTATACCAATAATGTATTATTTGGTCTTTACCTTTAACTGTACTGCTCAATAACAGTAGAATGGTTTTGAATGTAAATAAAATGTCTATTTTTCTGATGCTTAGAGTTTCATTTTTTTCTGTGTGTCTACAGCTTATTATGTGAAACAGCATGTATCTTCCCAAATATCTCTATGAAATGAAAGAATTTGGGATTACTGGTTTAAACAATTTTACAGTGCTGCATTTTCTTCCCCTGAGTTCACTGCCTGAGGCAGAAGTAGCGCTAACAGCATCCTGTTAAACATAAATCACCCTTATACACTGACTTATGAATTGTGACTAAAAGGACCCCTCCCAAACCCCCATATCTCTCTTTCCTGTATGAGCTACCTATTCATGCGTTTCTATAGTGCCCAAAACCATGGTATGAAAGCTCTCTGACAAGTGTATCATTTAATTGTTTAAAAAGAACATCTTTTTATTTGCTACAAACATATAGTCAGGAGTTCACATTTCAAAGCATAATGAAGAGATGGATGCACTGTACTTGAGTTTCAGAGGTAGATGCTTTCATAATTTGAAAATCTCAGTAGATTACCACCACGGTAATTTTTAGATATGCCTGTCAAATAATAATATCCTACTTTATATTTTTGACGAGGTGTGCATTATGCTTCTGTTCTTAATATAGTTAGTTTTAGGTGAAGGGGCTGAGCATGGAAAGGAACAGCATGGTTGTTTAAATACATTTCCTGTCTGATTGTAAAAGTAATACATTATCACCATAGAGAAAAGTGTTAGGGAAATATTTTCCAGAGTCTCACAGCTCAGTGAAAACTTGGAGAAATTGCCCAAGGGCCTTCCTCAGGCAAATGGCAGGATCTGGTTATACACGAGAAGCCCCTTCTAAAGTCTGCATTATTTTCAAGTGTGGGTATGAAAAGAGAGCAGCTCTGTCATTTTGTAGAGCCTCTGAGTGCTTCGGATGCTCACTGTAAAACGGAGAAAACCTACTTCATAAGGTTTTCATGACAACTGCATGAGGAAGACCTATGTAAAACATTAGCAGCCATGGGCTCAGAGTAACCACTTGCTCAGAGTAGCATGGTTGGTATTTTTTGCAGATTCTAGCCTAGATATGGTTAACTCTAAAACCAATATTGTCTCTAAATCTATTGGCCTAGCATGAAAAAACAATTCTGAGTAATATTATAAGTGATTTAATGGCAGCGTCTGTGTCTTACTCATCTTTGTGTTCATGGGACAGAGCAGATAAATTGGAACATTAGAGGGAATCAGTAAATAGTTCCTTAATTAAAATAAACAAATTGAAGATGCTGGACCAGGAAGGTGGCCACTTCCTCTCATATTCCTGGTAGGTGTGATGTGATCACAAAAGGAATTCTGGAGATGAAATAGGCAGGTTTAGGGAATAAGGAGGGCTCATGGGGAGGCATGTATAGGTGAAGGATAGAGACA